AAAATGGTGTACCCCTGTAGCACCGACAATTGTTTTTCCAACTATAATCTCTATATAGCATGGCACCTACCGGGCACCGGCAATGAACTTGTATTAACAGTAACAACCAGGGAACTGATAATAATCTTCCTGTAGTGTTTAACAACTATGTAAACTTTAAGAAAACAACCAACTGAGCACCGGTAGCAAAAACTATCTATTCAACTATTACATTCACTTTTATGAATAATCACCCACTGAACACCGGTTATAAACTTTAATCAACTACTGATGTTTATAACCTCAACAAATTATAAGTTATATCTTTATCATCGATATAAACTTATTAACACAATTATTCAAACTATCGAAACAAATGTCTCCCAAAACCCATTTAATTCTATCACCGTATAAACAGTTTTCAACAAAGGGTGCTCTCCTGCTAAAATGCAATAACTTCTTCAGTATAAATAAACTTTTAAACACAGCCCGTCACCGCTTCTATACATATAACTCTCTACTTAAACCCAATTGCACAGAGAGTTTACTTGTATAACACTACAACAGATTTATCGATTTTCGCCTAACAGCATTTTACACTGCTACATTTTACCAACACTGTAAATGAACAAAATTTTTATCAAAGTTTAACAAACAATATTTTGCCAGGAAAGATTACAACTTAAAGAGAATATCCCGGACGAGCCCCCAAATTGTCAGGAGAAATGTCTGCCTTGATGTTATTTAATCTAAGAAAAGATTTAGTAATAAATACTAGAACCAATTTCCAAGATATGGAGGCTGGGCAGCACCGCCTGACATAAAAGTGAAATATTCTCAGTTGGAAAACTAGCATGTAATTGTTTAGTTAACACTATCTTCTTTTTTTTTAGGTATTTTTATCCTTTTCTATCTCAAATCAATATATACATGTAAACAACAAACTCTGATTATTATTTACACCGTAAACAAAGAACTCCGACCACCACCCACAACAAACACACATCATTTATCAGCCACTTATATGAAATATCTTTTCACGTATACGTCTTTTATACGAAACAAGACACCTGGCGAGCCCAAGCTCTAAACAACTTATGATCAAACAACAATAAAATCACCACAAAATGAAGAACACAAAAAATGAATATTTTTACAACTCTAAGATACGGTATAAGCCACAAACATTCATCCAACAATATTAACTTCACACAATCTAATCAGCATCAGAAAACAACTTAAACTAAAGCACCCAATATTTACATATATCCTCAAAACAAAGCAGCAACTAATATAATCTTGATATAATACCAAACATTCAACCAATATCAACCAATTATATCTTCACAAACAGATATAACTCAACAACCAAAACAACAAATTGCAACCAATAAACCCTGATCAATTAAGATCACCACAATTATATTCAACCACTTCAACAAACCAACAAAACTGACTTCAAAACAACAAAATTCTCTCCAAAACAACAAAATTTTCTTCCCAATAAAAAAATAACCCCTCACACTATAAGCGTGTGTCTCCTAACTGATGTAAAATAGATAAATACAGAATCCCTAAAGAAAGCCCAACACGGCAAAATTGAAAATGTTGCAGGCTCTCTCTAAACGCGCATATTTGCTAGCTGAAACGATTTGACATTTAAACATGTATACATATTTTATACTCCCAGCAACAGGTTTATAAATGAAACTGTACATTGAAATATGATACACTTCAGTGTATCGCTGACTCGTTGTAAAAAAAAAACTATCTACAGTGAAACTGTGATTATTCTGACAATCATTATGAAGCATAGTATCGATTGCATACAAATTTGGTAATATTACTTGAGTTTAGAGTGTATTTCACTAAATTTCAGTTCAAAAGATATTTTTCTTTTTCCGTTTCTTGTGTTTTTTTGTGTTTGTTTTGGTTAATTTTCGTTTTTTTGTTTTTTTTACCATTTTATTGGAATGACTGAATACATACTTGATGTAGGGCGTTGACTTACAGGATAAAAGTACGCCTTGAATTTAGTACTCAAGCATGATTTCTTCATATATACATTATTCCTGGCAGTTTTAGAGAACATTAAGGAAGTTTTTAACAATATTTGCTTGGCTGTGTAAGCCAAGTTACTGCCGAATAATGGTGACTAGCTGATTCAGGTTTTTCTGAAGATAGCCTTTCACCTGTTTATCCTTTGTAGACTGTTCACTAAAGCAGTTTCATGTTCAATCAATTCTAAAAAAAAATTAGGGTTTTCTGACAGATAAATCCTGAAAAAAAAGACAGTTACCTAAAAATTTACGTGACAAAATTATTTACACACCAAGCTATATACCGCATATTAACTTAACGTTGTCATCATAATAACGATATGCATGTTTATTATGCGACTTATATGTTTATCTGTAGTGACTGTTAATTCAGCGATAACATTTCAAAGGAAACTTATGTTGACGAACAGTATAAACATACACAATTAGTGCATTCGTTCGGTTTTATAATGTCAATATGAATTCGCACAAAATTGATTTGAACTAACACACTCTCAAACCAAAATTATCTAACCAATTTTTGTGTTAAAGCTGGGCGTATTACGTTTCATGATGATTTCAACATTTCAACACACCTGCAGTAACAAAAGTACTTATATGAACTCCAGGACATATTTTGAGTTATCACAAGAATTCCGTGACATTTGAAAAACGGATATGAATTTATTAGCCTGGGCTTTATGTTTGCAACTCTCAATTATAATTGGGTAATTAGGTAAAGCAACGAAGAAGATCACAAATGAAAAGTTCATACGAATGAAAAGTTCGTACGAATGAGTAAGTAATTTGAAAATTTTACTCAAACTTACCAAATTTAAACAAGAGGGCCATGATGGTCCTGAAGTCGCTCACCTGTACATAGGCCCCCGGGGCAGGGCAGATTTAAACCTCCAGGATTTTATTTTAACAAACTTGGTAGACACCCATTAGAAGATGTTTCATGCTAAACATCTAAGGTCTAGCTTGTTGGTGTTTTTTTAAAGAAGATTTTTTCAAGTTTTTCTTTAAACACATAGTTAAAAACAATTACTAACCTGGGGCAGGGCCAGTTTAACCCCATGGCTTTTATTTGAACAATCTTTGTAGACACTTACTAGAAAAATTTCCATGCTTAAAATCTTATCTCTATCTATTAGGGTTTTTCAAAGATTTTTAAGTTTTTGCGATACATATATAAGAACAATCAATGTCACTCGGGGCGGGGCCAATTTTGACCCCAGTGCTTTTATTTGAATAAACTTTATAGAAATTCACTAGAAGATGTTTCATGCTTAGTATCTAAACTCTAGCTGTTTGGGTTTTTCAAAATACACATAAAAGGAAAATAAATAATCCCCGGGGCAGGGCCAATTTTGACCCCAGAACTTTTATTTGAACAAACTTGGTAGACATCCATTAGAAGATATACTTCATGCTAAGTATCTTAGCTCTAGCTCTTTTAGTTCTTTAAAAGAAGATTTTTAAGTTTTCACTATATGCATATAGGAAAAATCAATGACCCCCTGGGGCAGGGTCAATTTTGAACCCAGGGCTTTTATTTGAACAAACTTGGAAGACACCCATTAGAAGATGATTCATGCTAAATATCTTAGCTCTAGCTCTTTAGGTTCTAAAAAACGAAGAATTTTCAAGTTTTTTGTATATGCATATAGGGAAAATCAATAACCCCCTGGGGCGGAGCCAATTTTGACCCAAGGGCTTTTATTTAAAAAAAAATGGTAGACACTCATTAGAAGATATTCATGCTAAATATCTTAGCTGTAGCTCTTTAGGTTCTAAAAAAGAAGAATTTTCAAGTTTTTTCTATATGCATATAGGGAAAATCAATGACCCCGTAGGGCGAGGCCAATTTTGACCCCAGAGCTTTTATTTGAACAAACTTTGTAGTCACTCACTAGAAGATGTTTCATGCCAAATATCTTAGTTCTAGCTTTTTTGGGTTTTTTAGATGATGATATTTAAAAAAATTTCTTTTGAATGCCATGGCAACCAGAGTTCTGCATGGAATTTAATTAAACAATATTCAAAGGTGACCACCAAAGGAACATTCCTGTGAAGTTTGGATGAAATTGACTCAGTGGTTTATGAGGAGATGTTATTTATAGTAAAAGTTACGGACGACGGACGGATGCCGGACGAAAAGCGATCACAAAAGCTCACCCTGTCACTTTCTGACAGGTGAGCTAAAAATGCGATGAAAATAGACTTAAAGGTTTTTCTGAAACATAATACAATATGGAGAACAAGCTTATTTATCAAAGTTTAATTTAACACCTCAAACACCCCATTCAAAGGTAAAAATGATTATTCTTTACGTAAGTTCTCCATGTATATAGAAATCTGAATACTGAAATCCGTAACGTTTTCCAGAAACTCCATGACAGTTATCATAAGAACTCTAAACAAGTTATCAAAGGAACTCCATCCTTCGTGTTACAGTTCCTCCCCCTTTTTAGTACGTATTTGCAGAATTAAGTTGGTCAGGCGCGGCACAGACGCGCGACTAATTTAGTTTTGTAAATACATACTAATATATTTTGACTGACTTAGTTTTACAAACAGTCGAGTTAATAGACTGATTAACAGTTTGCCGATTAATCAAAGCAAATGTTTTACAATTCATTTGAAATACTGCAATCATATTTCACAAACATTTATTTCAAACACTAATGTGTTTTTGTATGTAAGCGCACGAAATATTAGTTTGCTTTCCGGATGGCACCAGTTTCCACATTTAAAATGTCGAGTATTTAAATTATATGCGCCATTTGGTCATTTTTTCATAACTTTTGTATGTAAATCTTTGAAACATCGAAATACAAATGTATATAAAATTCATAAAGGATTCAAAATTACCAAATTTACTTATTCGAAACAACTTCAATAGAGTTGCGATTAATGATATTGTCATATTCTTATCCATATTTACGAATTTTATTTAATAAAGTGTTCTCTATTAAGTTTCAGAACATGGAACAAATACTTTGGCATAATTCTAAAGGGATCGGTTAAGGTTTTCGATTTGACATGCAGTGGTCGGAGCCTATCGCAGTTGACGATCCGTAAGTGTTTATATGGACCTTTTTGTCTGTCATTCTTTACTTTTAACGTATTTTTTATTAACCAGGTTTTCAACGAAAACCTGGTAATTGTAATGCCGAAGTCGGCAGGCGTTCAGGCGGGTGGGCGTTCAGGCGGGCGTCAACTTTTGGTTTCCGCTCAATAACTTAAGTTTGCTTTGGCCTATTGACACCAAACTTGGTGTGTAGGTAGCTTATATCAAGAGGCAGCTTGGGATTGCTACCCAGGTGTCTGTGATCAAGGTCAAGGTCACTGTTACTATAAATAGAAATTCAGTTTCCGCTCAATAACTTGAGTTTGCTTTGGCCTATTCACACCAAACTTGGTGTATGGACAGCTTATATCAAGAGGCAGCTTGGGATTGGTACCCAGGTGTCTGTGATCTAGGTCAAGGTCACTGTTACTAAAAATAGAAATTCAGTTTCCGCTCAATAACTTGAGTTTGCTTTGGCCTATTCACACCAAACTTGGTGTATGGATAGCTTATATCAAGAGGCAGCTTGGGATTGGTACCCAGGTGTCTGTGATCAAGGTCAAGGTCACTGTTACTAAAAATAGAAATTCAGTTTCCGCTCAATAACTTGAGTTTGCTTTGGCCTATTGACACCAAACTTGGTGTATGGATAGCTTATATCAAGAGGCAGCTTGGGATTGCTACCCAGGTGTCTGTGATCTAGGTCAAGGTCACTGTTACTAAAAATAGAAATTCAGTTTCCGCTCAATAACTTGAGATTGCTTTGGCCTATTGACACCAAACTTGGTGTATGGATAGGTTATATCAAGAGGCAGCTTGGGATTGCTACCCAGGTGTCTGTGATCTAGGTCAAGGTCACTGTTACTATAAATAGAAATTCAGTTTCTGCTCAATAACTTGATATTGCTTTGCCCTATTGACACCAAACTTGATGAATGGGTAGCTTATATCAAGAGGCAGCTTGGGATTGCTACCCAGGTGTCTGTAATCAAGGTCAAGGTCACTGTTACTAAAAATAGAAATTCAGTTTCTGCTCAATAACTTGAGATTGCTTTGCCCTATTGACACCAAACTTGATGAATGGGTAGCTTATATCAAGAGGCAGCTTGGGATTGCTACCCAGGTGTCTGTGATCAAGGTTAATGCATTTAGTTTTCATGTTATAACTTGAGTTTGCTTTGACCTTTTGACACTGAACTTGCTGAGTGGCAGCTTTGGATTGCCACTTAGATATCTGGGTACAAGGTCAAGATAATTTGCTTACAAAAGAATTTTCAGTATCTACTCAATAACTTCAGTGCACTTTGACCTATTGATTGTTGTCACATCAAAACTTGGTCGTTGAAAACCTGGTTTTCGTCGCATTGCGGCGCTTCTTGTTTATTTATTGTTTTACAATCTATTTACTTTTGAGTATTTATCTTTATATATATAAGTCAGTCAGCCTGTCCGTCCGTCAGGCAGGTAGGCAGACACTCAGTCAGTCAGTCAGTCAGACATACATACATACAGACAGGCAGACAGACTGACTCAGTCAGTCAATCAGTCAGTCAATCAGTCAGTTAGTTGTATAATTGCCAAGTTCCGGGTATCAACTTTTGAAATAATTTATTGCAGCCTCACAGCGATTGCTATTACCTTTACAAATGCGTCACACAGACTCATGCTGGAGTAAGTATTTCTATTTATGCAGTTATTCCCATTTATATATGTAGTTAAAGCGACAATTCGCATGCCTATGGTGAACATTTTAGGATTGATTACTACTTATGAAGAAATGTAAATGAAACATGGCAGAAAATAATGATTAAGTATCTGATAAAATAAATAAAAGAGGAGTTGTCCTTCCTAAAAATGAAAGATGAACAATCAACTTTCCGTCGTTGTTGATATTCCCGGAAATGACTTGCGAGTAAAAAAATTAAGGAAGCTTGTCATACTTGTGTCATTTCTTCGGTTTCGCACTATGCTCCTTGGGGTTGAAAGCAAATATGACTCAACGTTATGCCTTTTGATAAATTTATTAGTAACAAATATAGCTATCATCATCATTTACATCGTCATCACAATCATTGTCCTAAGCATCATAACATTTATCATCATAATTGCTATCGTTATTATAGATATATTTACTTTCATCATCATAATCTTTTTATTGAGTCCACAATATCTAAATATCAAGTTTAAATATTGACGAATCAGTGTCAGATGATCTATTGTAAATGGTTATCTTTGTAAAGTACACTTTCATGAAAATTTGTATAGACGAGTATTGGTTTTAGAATCCCTGAATAGAAAATATTTATTTTCAGCAACCAGACAGTGCCACCTAAATGATTTATGTTATTCTTGTAATCCGAGACTGAACAAAAACTTAGCGTATTTTGGAGTTTCGAAATGTTATGAAAAGATAATATAAGCTACTTTTATATTGCATTTAATGACTGAAATTTTCCTTCAGAATTTAAAAATAAAAACTGACAAATGTTGGATGTTTTAAAAGCAAAATTATAGTATTATGGTTTAATGATTGAATAAGCTACAGCTCGAACTTAAAAGCACTTGATCAGTCTTCATGTTGTCTTTGTTTAACTCATGTAAAGAAAACAATTGGGTCATGCTGTATATACTTTAATTTATGGATGTTATGACAACTTCCAATCATTCTAAATCTTCATTACATAGTTTTTGCATTATATTTATGTTTGTTTTTAAAATTGTATTGTAAGTTAAATATATTTGTTTTTAAATGACATTCATGTGATACCGTCATTTGCGACAATTAACTTAGTAGTCTTGTAGACAATTTTAATTACTTTTATTATAAAATAATCTAAGTGTATACATAGTATGTATATAAGTGCTTTTACCGGAATAAATAATTAAATCAATAATCAGTAACTGCGGCTGCTGTATTATCGAAATCTTTGCCATGATCATCACGTTCATTTTCGTCATCTCTATAATATTTATACATTTTTATTTTTTACTGTTATTATTATTTTTATCATCATCAACAGGTTCTATCAGGAAGCAATACATGTTTTTGAGGAGAAAATAATAGTCGACGAACAGGAAGTACAAACGTCTACTATGAAAACTACATTACATCAAAGACAAATGTCAATTTTCCTTCAAAGAACTGCAATTGTAAAGTTGTCAATTCTTACACAGAGTGAATCTGTGAAGGTAAACCTTCTTGATTTTCTTAAGTAACTTAATTTAACGACGTATTTTTATCAAGAAACCATGGCGTGAATTGCAATATGCCACTAGTTTGTTGTTTGTTGACAGCTGTTATGTCGGTCTCCTATGTATATAATTAAAATACTGTCTTCATGTAGGAAGCTCAAAACAAGTGTGTAGGTTCCTGTGGAGTAAAACAATATGCGAGGAATTTCTCTACTAAGTAACAAAAAGCATAAGCTGTATAGGATGGAGGAAGAAAACTTGTATGGCGATTCTATCCATACATGTATAGAATTATTTTCAGTATTGGAAAGAGATTCAAACCGTCATGATGTACATTATGCAATTGCGAAATTTAGGCAGAAACTATGTATGCATTATGGAAAAATATAGCCAGATGGTTCCAACAACAGTTCAATGTCCTGTAATAGAAGAGATTAAATAGACTTTAATGATGTTTAGACCATTTATTTTTTATCGGATGCACAATTGTATTCTAATGTCGCTAGTTTTTAACAAAGGTTGAGGCGTGTGAACCTTAATATCTTGCTTTTCGTACACCTGATAAGTGCGCGTCTCTTTCTGAGTATTCTCTTATGAGAGATATTCATAAAGGATTGGAATACCTATTCTGGTATATACCGGATAAGACGCTTGAATAATGACATGCTAAAATCTTGCCATTTTACCCAACGAAATGAACTTTGAAAATCTAATTCATCTTTTCACACCGATTTATGTATTATAATTAACGAAAATGTAATATTCAGCGGGAAAAGGGATTTTGTCTTTTTTGTAAACATGATATTTCCGAGCGTCTACAGGTACTGCTCCAGTCCTGTAATGAGTAAAATCCTTTTCTTAATGTCATTCATTACATCTAATTCTACATCATGTTTTTTTTTAGATAATGTTTGATAACGAGGACTTCTGGACATACGAGATACAGACTGTCAATATTAGCAACATGCATCAGTTTTCCGTGAAACTTAAAGAGAATTTCTTTAGCAACAAGATACTATTGCTTTATGGTTACCGTTTAAGTGTTGAGTAATACCAACAAGTACTGTAATATCAGGAATTTATGCCAGGGACGATATTTCACTTAATTCGTAAATTTAAGTTTGTTTTTATCCAATATAGATTTTGTCTAAATATTCAAGAAATTTATAAACTGAACAGGACTGAAAGAAGACATTTCATATTATGACAATTTGTGTAAGAATTATCTTGGCCACATATAAAATTCTGATTTTACATTTAAAATAAAAGTAACTATAAGTTATTATAATGGAATGTTGATCGGTATTAATCTTTGATTTCGGTATCCTTACACATGTGAGTATCACTGCGGATGATCACGTGACCAGAATCGTACAATGGGCTCATAAAATGGCGGCCTACGAGTACAATGGCCGAACAGGTACTAAAATACGTTGTTTTCAGTAAAAAACGCATTTTGAGCAAAATAAGCAATGACATCTTTTGCACAATTGGAATTTCGACCGCCAAGAAAAATTCACATCCTTTGTAAAATTGCATAATGAAGTTGTGCATCTTTTTAAAAACGAAAATGGCCGAACAAAATTTAATGAGTACATTGTACAATGGCCGAACGAATTTATTGCCTGTCTTATTTCGTCAGATTTTTCATTGAAATGTGCTTGTTTCTCGCTTCCAGTCTTTGAAATCATACAAATATGATATTTGTAAGTGCAAAGTAGGAAGAAGTATTAAATTAAATGAATTCAGTTTGCTTGCTATAAATTCTCATCTAGTATTCTGCTTTGATAACACACGTGTATATCAGCGTTCAAGTATTTAAAATACACAAATAAAATACGAACATGGACATTATACAGAATTTATTTCACCAGCAAATTAAATGTTTCAATTACATAAGATTGTCAATTATTTTTTTAATTAAGTCAGTTTTTTTTTGTTGTTTTTGTTGTGTTTTCTTTATTTTTGTGTTTCAAACGCAGAAAAAGTGGTTCCTTTATATGAAAAGCATGTTTACGTGCATCTTATGTATATATTAGATTTTAAATTGAGCTTATATTACCGTTAGATACTTTATCACACCATATTAAGTAATTTTTACAAGAATTGGAAATTTCTTATGTGTTTATTTGCCGGCATTTTGGCAAATCGTTTCAGTTGTTTTAGAGCAAACAACCATGGCGGATCAAAACCGTTTCACGCAGTCAGTTCGCGACAAACTCTGATTAAGCAGCACAAGTTATTCACTCAATAAACTTTATTGACGTCTCTGCGCGTGACAAAAATATGATGATGTTGCCAAAATAAAGTCTGATGACCTAATAAGAGGCACTTTTTTGACAATGACTAGAACAAACAAAAATTCACTGAGTTTGCTCTTGATATTATACACTTTGGTCAGTGATTACTCAAACCCTGACTACATATACTTAGGCTCTCCAATATGTACATTTGTGTTTCTATTTGCCAGAATGGGAAGAAAGGTGATCAATCAGCATTGCCTTAGTTCGAAAAGCTTTGGGCAGATGCTGCAAGTTAAAGTGGGTTAGCATAGAATAACTTGTATTGCTCCGATTTTGTCGAAAACGAACTGCCGTATTCTTAGAATTTAGAAATACTATCAGTTTATTGATGTAAATATAGCTCCCATGTTGGAGCCATAATGACCGGGTGTCATACTATTTGTCCTCATAAGATATTTTGTAATGTAATTGTACCTATTTAGGAACATATATACTGCGTTCATTCCTCAACACAAAGGGTACAATGTATGTCGCTGCTTATAGCTAATATAGCTATTATAGATAATGGGGCAATATATTGCTCAAGGTTTATCAAATATCTTTTTCTTAATAGCCTTTTCTTTATTAACATATCACCATTTCTTTGTGTTCTTTCCATCTTAGACACTCAAGCTGTATGTAAAAATATCAGACAACTATGTACTTCATGTATAGTATAGAAATTTACAGACCTATGTCTTTGTATTTTGCTGAGACTAAGGAACCATGTCCCACAGCATGAAATAAAAACAACAAAAACACCTTACTTTATTTCCAAAATTATTGACAATTTTATGTATGTAATTGAACCATATATTTTGCTGGTAAAATAAATTCTATATAATGTACATGTTTGTATTTTATTTTTGTATCTTAAATACTTTTACGCTGATGTACACGTATGAGATCAAAGCAGAATATTATTAAGATGAGAATTTATAGCAAGCAAACTGTATTCATTTAATTTAATTCTTCTTCCTATTTTTCACTTACAAATATCATATTTGTATGATTTCAAAGACAGGAAGCGAGAAACACGCATAATTCTATGAAAAATTTGACGAAGTAGGACAGATAAATAAAACTGTTCGACCATTGTACTCATTTAATTTGGTTCGGCCAATGTATTCGTTCTTAAAAAGATGCACAACTTCGTTATGCAACTTTACAAAGGATGGCAATTGTTCCTGACGGTCAAACGTCCAATTGTGCACAAGATGTGATTGTTGATTTTGCTCAAAATGCGTTTCTTTTACTGAAAAAAATCCCGCATTTTAGTACCTGTTCGGCCATTGTACTCACCACAAAAAACATTTTTTTCGACTTCCAGGCCTAAATAGAGAGAGCTACAAAGTAACCAATAGCAGAAAAGTACGTGGTTTTTATACAGGGATTCCGTGCGGTCTAGTTTAACATATAAATTTAACGTTAACTGTATGCTTACCTCAGTTTCACTGCTTTACTGAGCGTTTAGGCCGCCATTTTATGAGCCCATTGTACGATTCTGGTCACGTGATCATCCGCAGTGATTATGATGATATATCTTTCGAATGGTTACAAACACAATAAGCTCTTGATGGCGTCCGTGCCGAAGCGCGGCGCCCCTTTATGGAATGAAATCAGATTTTGTGAAAGGGCGACAGCAACTTCTCGAGCCTTTTAGTCGGTCATAATAAAAGCCAAGCATTCCGATTAGTATGAGGGTGCTTGATTTTTATTAATTAAAAATGAAATGTCGCGATATGTACAAATGAATAGCGAACTGGAGAATTTCGCAATGCAAACATTTTCAAATGTATTAACCTTCTCCGTCAATAAATAACGCTCTTCGGTTTTTGTTTTTTTCATTTATCATTTTGTAGTACACAGTGGGTTATTATGGTATGTTATTGTTGTACATGTATATATAATGATGAGTTATTCCGAAAATCTATTTATAGAGGGATGTACTCCTATCGGTAATTCCCGGTCTCTCTCGGTCTATTTTGACCAGGATTTACTAGTTATCACACGTTTATTGTCCGGTCTCTCCAGGTTTTGGAGTAGATGTTTGATATCGTTACAGAACAGAACAAATATTTTACAGATAAATAAGCTTTTTTTCCAAAATGAAGGTTTGTCACTTAGTTTGGTTACAATAATTCATAAACACAGATCAACTCTCAAATTTATTGATTATTAATACACATAAACATACTATTCGAAAAAAAACACCAACAACAACAACAATAGCATGTTTCATTTTATCTATATGAGATAAAAACAATGAATATGTACAATAATTGAGAAAAATGTACATTTTATGGTATAAATATGACACTTTAAACTTTGAAACATGAAGATGCCGAGGAATTATTCAAAGTTACAAATTAGATTTTATGAATTATTTAATTGATCGATAATTTAAAAAATGATAAAGAAAAATACAAATGTACATGTACATGGTTTAAGAATAAACAATATTATACATATATTGAAAGATAAACCATAATTTCCTAACTTTTACCAGTTAAGTTTTGACTTATAATCGTTGGTCAATGTGACAATTGAATTCTTAAAATTTATTTTACAATTTTAATAATAAAAAAGAGTAAAACGTAAAAACTCCGCACTAAAATTGCACATAAAACACATAGAAGAAAAGAAAACAATATTCATAAAATCTGCAATTTCTTTTATTAAAATAGATATTACAGTTATTGTATAGTAAACAATTATGGTCAATATGATCAACATGGTATTATAACCAGTGTCATATTTTTACTAAGTGTGAACAGATACTTTAAGAGGGTTTCTTCGCTAATAGCGATAACATAATAAGGGACAATTACACAAGTGTTGTGTTGATTATGCGTTACACATATGGATTATAAATGAATTTATACATGTATATCCGTTGCTATAAATAATCATGATCGTAAAGAAATAAAAAAAGTAATATTCTAATCTCTAGCATGCCAATCAAAGTTCATAATGCACAATGTCTTTCGTCCGTTCATTCATAAGTGATATACAATTCTGGTAAAAACCAATTAACCATTGAAAAGATTATAAGAATATCTTGTCATCATATGTTTACTAGTTCATCTTCACCTGCTGCATTTCTTGCGTGGACGCCCTTTGATGCTTTGCATCAATGCTTTTCTTGTTTTAATGTTGTAATACTTTTGCACAATCAATATGAGCATATTCATTAAATCAAAAACATCTATTCAATTGTATGAGGAATGTTATAAAATGGCCATTATAAGAGCATTTCAATCCCTGTTTTGTTTTAGATTTGTTGTGTTTCTTTTCATGACTGACTAAAATTATACATAATCGTAAATTATGGAATATTTGATGGTATTACAACCTCAATTTTCCAAATAAAACTAAAGAAAACTAAACGGGAGTGTGTAAAATCAGCAAGTCGTAGGAGCAACTGAAAAATATGGGCTTTGTAGGATCGGATCTGTTAAACATTCATGATAAACACCAGTATATGTTAAACTAGTCATCCTGGTTGGTCATTATACTTGTTATTATAAAACATCACGTTTGTGACGTCACTTTTCATTGGATAATCGTGACGTTGATATGGTTTTATATACACGGCTGCTGACAATTTTCTAAGAAATCTCTTTTTATTCTGAAAAAAGGAAGTTTTTTGTATTATATTTTTGTTATAAATATTCCTGACAGGTTATATGACCGTAAATGAACGTTTGTTTGCGATACATTTTCAAACAGCCGTTTATAAAGGGGTCATATACCATGTCAAAAATCTTTATAACTAAGCAAAAATACTGAATAATTATCGTTCAAAGACACACCGACAGATAAGAAAAAAATTATTAATGCTTTATAATTGTCAGTTTTATTATTATCACCAGGCTCGTTTTTTTACTTTGTAAAAAATTTGAACTATTGCTACATAGGTTGCAGTTCAGATAATCGTCAAGAAACTTAAATGTTTGCCATATTTTTTTTATATTTCCAAATGGATTGTGTTCAAAGTTAGACACAAAAACTCTTTGGAC